CCAAGCTGTTCTGAAAGAAGCCTGACGTGGAAAAAAAGCTAAAGAAAGAGCATTAAAAAGCAATAAATTAGAATTCCTCATTCCTGTATAAACCCTGCATGAGATTTTTTCAAATAATAAATTAAAATTGGAGGGCAGAAGGTTAACTAAAGAAGATTTTATACAGAATTTAAACCAGGTGATGCTAAAATGATGCTGCTGTAGGAGTCCTAGATAGTGAACATTGATGAGCAATAAAGATTCTTTTATCTTGAATTTAAGATGTTTATGTGTATATTTTTGACAATTTTGGCATAATTACTGCTCTGAGCGGGTGACTCTTTCAGTTTATGGTATTTTAGAGTCTCTGTACTCCAGTTAACGAATAATCAGTTATTAATTTAGTTGATTATTAGATTATTAGTTGATTAAACATAATTGTTTGAGCCCTAGCTCTGATAAATGTTATCTCAGGTGAACCGAAAGCAAATGCACACCACACTATTCAGATTATTATTTAAAGGTTTTAAAAACATGTTATCGTGCGATGGACTGGTGACCTCTCCAGCATCCCTTGTGACCCCAGCAGGGATAAGTGTGACAGAAAATGGATGAATGGATGGAAAAACATGTTATCATTTACTTTCTGGTTCAAAATGGAAGGCATCATATATTTCTGCTTCTGTCTATACAGCATATATTTTTTTGATGTATTAGTCTGTAATGTAAATGTATGATGGATATTAAAAGTCTATAAACTATTGTTAAAAACTCAGGTGATGATGCAGCAGAAAAAAATCATTTAATGGAGCTTTAATATAGTGGAAAACAGCTGAAAAATATCTGTTGGAGGGAAGAAAGCAAAGAGATAAATGTTCTGTCTTTCTTTGCTTTGTGAAAAGATCTAACATGGATGAAAGTTTATCTGAGGAACCAGGAATAAACGTAAGCTAACAAAGCGCAGGAAATAATACATTTGTTCTAAACACATATTAGCGGTGATATAAAACCTTAAAGTTTCTGTTAGTAATCTATAAAAGGAAAATTATATTTTTTTTTTAGTATCACACTCAGTCCATTCAAATGTGAATTAATCAGAAGAAATTGAAGTTTAGAACTAAAGCTGAAAACCTGTGGAGTCCATAAAGAGGAGATTTGTTTTTTCACTGATGGATCTGGAAAAAATGTCTAGGGTAGAGTGGCTAAAAATCCCCAAAGTCATTTATTTTTACGCAGATCAACTCTGACTAGATGCTAAAACAGAGTCTGCACATCTATACAGTCTGGTTATTGGAGCGTTTTCATTTTTTAATTTATTTCAGAATTAAGGTGACATTAAAAGTGGAAACACTTTAGCTTCGTGCTATTTTATTATTTAACGGAGTGTCAGGCAACAAAGTCAAATACTTCATTACCACTATCTATACTTTACAGTATTTATTTATTAGACAACATTTTACTTCTATTCCATACAGTTTTCTTTTTTACAATTATCTCTACTTTTTACTCCTTACATTTTAAAGAAATTGCTCTTTAGTTTTGTTTTATTAGCTTAAATTAAACAAAACTAACAAGTAGTTTTTTCAATATCAGTATTAAATTATCAAAATAATTTGTTTCATTCAGACAATTAATTTCTTTATGGTCGGACTCTGCGCTGCTTCAACTTGTTGCTCATCACAAACCAAAATAAATATTTTTTCAAGACAATGCAAAGTTAAATTTGACACTGATACCATTAGTTATAAACCTAAGAAACTTAAGTATAAGGAAGGTTTCATCCAGGATTATAGAAAAATGTTCCTTTAATAGGTTAGCGCTGTATCCAGTATGAGGTTTAAAGCATCTTTCCTTAACATTTTTTCCTGCATACCTTTTATATTTCAAGCGGTTTTAAAAATGAAACTTTTATGCTTTTACTTGAGTAAGTAGCTTAAGTTGATACTTTTACAGAAGTGTTTTAAACAGTAGGATTTATATTTCTACTTGAGTAATAAACAGGAATGCTTTTGACACCTCTGATCATTTTTTCAGTTCAGTAAATTGTCTGCTTCCCTTCTTCCCTGTCAGGATTGTTCTGGTGGAGAGCATCCCTGAGGGGCTGGAGTTTAACTCCTCCTCCACCAACCCCTCCATCTTTCAGGCGTGGATCAGTCTGATGAGCGAGGCGCGCAGCAGCGTGGACATCGCCTCCTTCTATTGGACGCTTACTAACAAGGACACCAGCACTCAGGACCCCACTGCCTCTCAGGTGAGCACAGACGGCTCAGATTTCAGCCTCTCTGGGGGCCTCTGCTGACTGTTTTTTTATTTTAAATACGGTCTGTTTGTTTTGGTTGTAACAGCCATGTTTGGCTGCCCTGCTTTTCTTAGCTCCCCTCTTTGGCATCATGCAGCGTAATAAACGATGCTGTTTGCACAGGGGGAGGAGGTTTTGAAGAGACTGGCTGTACTCTCAGGGAATCTTCACGTCCGAATTGCTGTCGACTCGCAGGAAGGGAAACCGCAGGCTGATCTCACACTGCTCGAGAATTCAGGTGGCTGTTTCTGTTTTGCTTTCCCTTTGACTGATTTATTTTAAGTTTTTATATCCAACTTTTTAAGCTTTTTCCATTTTAAAAGATTTATTCTTTATTAAGTCAGAGGAGGGGAAAGTGGCATTTAACATGCAGACATGTTTGAAATGTAAGGAAATAGGAACAAGAAAATAATAATGAGTAATTGAATGAGCTGAATTGAATTTTGCTGCACAAAAATCTGTCTTTTATCTGTATGATATTTTCATCATTTAGCATTTCCAGAGAGCTGTTTCCTGTCTGATGGGGCATTTAAGAGAATTATGGAGACGGAGTGGCTTGTTAAAATTGTGTTGCACCGATGCCATTTTTTTGGCCCCGATACCGATACCTAGCTGTGCAGTATTGGTCGATACGGATACCATAACGATACCATCTGTTTAAAATTGATGTCTGTGTATATACGAAGAGCTTCATACTACTTGGATGTAAAATAATTGCCATCATGGCTTTGTCAAGCTGCTGCCTACCTTTGTGAACCAGGAAAAAGACGAATACAAAGTGAATCCAGTAGAACTTTTTATTGCCTACCTGGAATGGGTGACAATAGTTATAGAATACACTTTTGTCTCTTAAAATGGTAAGCTGGACACTAGGGGTGTAAATAATAATCGTTTTGTATCGATGCATTGATCCAACAACCGACGATCCGATGCATCGATACTTCAGCAAGAGTATCGATTCATGATTTTTTTTTTTTTCCTCCTGTCTATTTTTATCCATTTGCTCCTGGATGTATTTCTCCCTCCCGTGCTGCGGTGGCGCTAAACCTATTTTGCCCTCCTACCTCGCTTATACTCCTGCAGCAGTGTGCTGCAGTAAGCTTGACACAGACATTTGTGATTTATGCTCAATATTGCAGCGTGGTCTGTGCTACACACTGTGGGTCTAGATACGGCCGAGGCGGTGAGGAAGTGGGGGCGAGTTTAGTTTGACGATGGAGGGACATGAGGGCCAAAAAGAGCGGAGATCCAGGTGGAAAAAGGGTCCCAGTGTTCTCGCGTACCTCGCTCTTCTAGCGGGTCAAACTTCTCGAGTTGTTTTCCGCAATTTCGGTCATAAAAATAAAACAAGCTGGCCCTCTGTCTGCAGCACTGTCTGTAGTCTGCTACAATTTGGGAGAGGAGCAGCGGAGCGTCTGTGGAGGGGGCGGGGACATCTGGAGCCGAGATATTGCATTGCACTCATTGCACTGATTTTGTGCAGTATTTTTTGATGCACGGCCTTTCAGAATCTATAACGCAGGGGTGTTATTATTTTTCAGTGAATGCGGTTTTAATAGGAATAGGTGGAGTGCTTTCTGTTATTTGCTGTTGTTGATAAAAAAAAAAATGCATAACGATATTACAGCTTTCATTGATTTATTTCAAATTTGAAACTTTGTTTAGCCTGTAAGGTGTTAAAAAATTAAATAAAATAAAAAATAACCAATTAATCGAATCGTATCGTATCGTGGTGTATTATTAAGTATCGAAAAATAATCGAATCGTTGGGTCAATACTGAATCAAATCGCCATGATGGAGCTGATTACACCCCTACCGGGCACACGCTGTCCGATTATTTTCAATCGTTGCATGTAGCTACAGCTCAAACTGTACAACAAAACTGCAGGGTTTGAAAGTTCCCAGCTCACGATGTTTGTTCTCACGCTGTGCTGCCAGACGCTCAGTGTGAGAACAAATTCACTGAGCGTGCATAAAATATACGACGCACATGAAGCTAAAACTCGGCCTGATCGAAAAATATTCACACGACAGGAGAATTGGCCCAAAAAGGGCAAAAAATAGTACAGTATATGCCCGGCTTTAATCTGTTTGGACAGATTTATGTTTTCCCTCCTCGGTTTAGGAAGTTATTCATATTAAGGCTGCAGGTCCTTCTGAGCAAGTAGGCATTTGTTTCAGTGGAGCAAATGCCTACTTAGTGGAGCTGAGCAGAGGACGGATCTAAACCAGGAACATTTTCCCAAAACCCATTATTTAGATTTAAACGATAGGAGCACAACTGCAAGACCTGAAACTTTCAGTTTCTTGGGTGGGTGGTGGTCACTCCCCCCAGACCATCACAGGGTCTACTTCCACACACAACAGTTAACCAACAGTCATGTTCCCCCTGTGGGAAGAAGCTGGGCTGCACAGAGAGAACCCACCTATGCAAGGGAGAGCAGACAGCTTCATCCAGGAAGAAACCAGGATTTAATAAATGGATCCTCTGCTGCTCTGAGATAAAATGTGTTTTCAAAGCTGAGATCTTCAGTCTGGTTTTCTTCCTGAAGCTCTGATGCTTTTTTTTCAGGAGCCGACATCAGAAAAGTTGACATGAGAAATCTCACCTCAGGGGTTCTTCACACCAAGTTCTGGGTCGTTGACAAGAAGCACGTTTACATCGGCAGCGCCAACATGGACTGGAGGTCGCTGACGCAGGTCTGTGTGAAACGGCTGGAAGCTGGTTCAGATCAGCAGAGGAAGAGAACAAGACAAACTCAAAGGAGATCTGTTACATTTCTAGTCAAAGGTTGTTTAGAGTCAAAATCAATCGCATGGTCCTCAGCTTTTTGACCTCTACCAGCATCTGTAGGAGAAAATTCACTGATTCTAACTAGTTTAACCAAAACACAGGCAATAATTGAAATCTTACATTTAGTTTTCTATTTTTTTCTTGATCCCAGAAATATTTAAAACACCCCCAACGCTTTGCAGAAAGATTTTAACTGTGACATTTTATAAATGGGCTAATTCTGAACAGTTTATTTTAATGTAGAAACAAAGAAGGAGGAATAGAAACCCGACTTAGAGCCTGAATCCTAAAAACATTTGGTTGTTGTTTTCCAGGTGAAGGAGCTGGGAGCCGTGGTCTATAACTGCAGCTGCCTGGCTGCAGATCTGGAGAAGATCTTTGAAGCTTATTGGTTCGTAGGGGGGAGCCAGTCCATTCCGTCACCGTGGCCTTCCAACTTCACCACTCTGTACAACAAGGACACGCCCCTTCAGCTCCCGCTGAACAGCACACCATCCAGCGTTTATCTCTCTGTGAGAATCCGTAATGAAACGATATCCTATAACTCCTCCTTAAATTATCTGCGCTGTTCCCAGTTTTGCTGACTTTCCTGATTCCTGTTCAGAGTTCGCCTCCTTCCTTCTGCGCTACCGGCAGAACTCCAGATCTTCAGTCCATCCTCAGTGTGATGGAGGACGCTGAGAGTTTCATCTACATCGCCGTCATGAACTACTTGCCCACTACAGAGTTTACTCATCCTAAAAGGTAAAGCAGTGGGGATCCTAGCCACGCTACCTGCAGCTGTTTGGGGATTAGTTTATCCCAGACGAAAACTCATTTCTGACTGGATTAAAGGAATAGTACACCCAAAACATGATTAGCC